AGGTCAAGAAACAAAAGCTTAAAAACAGCTTTACATATTTCAATGGAGATTTCTATTCCAGAGAGAGCTAAAAAAATATTGTAAATCCCTAATGAAATCTCATCTTTAGATATAATCTCTGATAGTGTTTTTGTGAATGAAGGCCCTTTAGTTGGCTTTCTTTCCCAACAGAACAACAGCTGAGGCCCAATAAGCCTCCGCAGGAGGCTGAAGCAGCAGCAGCACGTCTCAGGGAGCCTCCTTCCCCCGCGGGCCAGAGGCCTGTCACTGCCATCAGTGCGTTGGGCATGTGAAAGAACAAGTGTAAATGCTGGAGATGCCTTAAGAATGTTACAGATAACACGTTCCTGGGAGTCAGGTGTGAGTGATTAGATCTGAGAACCAGAGGTCAGAGAAACATTATGAATGAAGTTTATTGCATATTTTACTTTCTTGTCTTTTTTTCTTTTTCTTTTTTGCATGGACCAGTGGTTCTCAAACTTTAACATGAAGGAGAATCACCTGGGAGGGCTTGTTAAAGCACAGCTTGCTGGCCCCGTCCCCAGAGATTCCTATCCAGTAGGGCTGGTTGGGGCACGAGAATCTAACAAGTTCCAGGTGATGCTGATGCTGCTGGTCCAGACCATCGGCTTGGAGGAGCGCTGGCCTGGAGCATGGAAATCTTAAGTTATTTTTTCAACTAGGTTTTCAATTTCTTGCTCTCTCTCTTCTCCTTCTGGCACCCCTATGATTCAAATGTTGGCATGCTTGAAGTTGTCCCAGAGGCTCCTTCCCTAATTTGGTGAAGGAAACAGATATACAAGTCCAGGAAGCACAGAGAGTCCCAAACAAGATGAACTCAAAGAGGTCCACACCAAGACATATCATCATCAGAATGCCAAAGGTTAAATACAAAGAGAGAATTTTAAAAGCAGCAAGAGAAAAGCAGTTTGCTACCTACAAAGGAGCTCCCATGACTGTCAGTTGATTTCTCTAAAGAGTGGCAAGAGATATTCAAGATGATGTAAAGCAATGACTTACAACCAAGATTACTCTATACTGCAAAGCTATCATTTAAAATTGGTGGACATATCAAGTTTCCCAGACAAGAAAAAGCTAAAAGAGTTCATAACCACCAAACCAGTATTATATGAAATGTTGAAGGGTCTTCTTGAAGGAGAAGAACAAAAATATGAACAATAAAATGGCAATAAATATGTATCTATCAACAATTGAATCTGCAAACAAAATGAGTAAGCAGAACAAAAACAGACTCATAGATACAGAGAACTTTTTGTTGCTTGACAGATGGGTGGGGGCTGGAGGGATGGGTGAAAAAGATGAAGGAATTAAGAAGTACAAATTGGTTGTTAGACTGATGAGCCTCAAAGGGAAGGAGGGAGGGAGGGTGGGATGAGATAAACCAAAGAACTTTTGTGCATATATGCATAACCAATGGGCACCGGCAATAGTGTGGGAAAGGCAGGAGTGGGAAGGAATTGGGGAGTAGGGGGTCAATGGGGAAATAAAGGGGGGCATCTGTAATGCATTCAACAATAAAGATGAGTTTAAAAAAAAAAAGAAAGAAAATACTAAGAGAGATGCCCAACTAATTACTGGGCATCTGTGCCCTTTAGCTCAACTGGGTAAGCCCAGTTGGGGCAGGTCCTCAGGGGTTTGGGTGATTCTAAAAAGTATGCTCCTGTTCTCAGGTGGCATCAATCCAAAGGCCAATTGTGACAACCATTCTGAGGTTCAGGCTCGGGTCCTTGAGCACAACAGCTGTAAGAAAACCGCCACCAGAAGGCAGAAGGTCATGTTCCGGGTAATGGTCACTCTGACCATTTGCTGAATGCCAGCTCAATTTGCTGAATGCCTCTGTAGCAGCCTCCGCGTAGAAAATCCAAGCCTCTCCAGGCAGCTAGCACACTGGGGCTGCTGGGAAGCGAGCGACTGTGGTATTGCTGTCTGCAAGGACATGGTGCTCTGTTTTCTGTATAAGGTTATTGTTGGAAAATCAAGTAAAATGAGAAATGCTGTACTTAACCATTCCTGAAGAAATACTTGAAAAGAAAAAAAAAGAAAGAAAAGAAATATGGACTTATTATTTTAAAACTTAGAAAATAAAAAGAATTATGTAAACATGTTAATAAAAAAGGTACCTGTGGTTCACACTTTATTTTTTCCAGGTATTTTCTATGCACGTATATTTATGGATCATATTCCGTTTGCATCATGCTTTTTTCACTAGTATTACTGTAAGCTTTTTTCTCATTTTTCATAAATGATCTGAAAACATTTTTTAATGGCTGCATAATTTTCATATATTTTTTTGTGTGTATGTATATATCTAAAGAGTTTGTTTAACCCTTGTCATCATTTAGAATTATTCCTTTTCATTTTTTTGTGCTATTATAATGCTACAAAGAAGAGTTTTGTACATAACTATGATAGCCCTTCTGATTATTTTCTGGGAGATAATTCTAAAGTGGGATTATTGGAACAGTAGAAAAGAACACTTTTTAGGCTCTTGATATAGACTGTCAGGTTGCTATCAAGAAAAGGTGGACATGCCTACACACTCACCAGGGGACTACTTAATAACCTCTGTCATTGAGAGTCATACTTTCTTTGCTTGGTCCTTGAGCATTTGCTCTAAATTTTGCATTCCTCTGATTAGGCAGGACATTTTTCTACATTCAGTAACCATATGTATTTCCTCCTTTGTAAACCGCATCTTTGTGTCTTTTGTCCAGTTTTCAACTGGAATCAAAATTCTGCTCATTGTGAGTTCTTGAGTAGGCATCTTCTCAGAGTTCTGACAAAGCTCCACGTCCCCCCAGGTGAAGGCCTCCTCTTCTCACGGGACCGTGTGCACATTCACTGCTGGGATTGCTTCCTCTCTGGAACTGCACGTGCCCGTGTCCCCCACTGCTCGTGAGCCAGCTCCGGGTCGTGTGCGTTCTTTTTCTCGGCACTGAGCCCTGGTACAACGCATGTGTCAATGAAGACTTACCTAATGAACTAATGAATAAATCTGTGAAGATCAGGAAGAGTTGACTTTTAAATGAAGATGGATTTCATCAGGATAGCATATCTACATTTTGTAGAGAAAGAATCATTGAGTCCTTGGATAAACCTATGCCGACTTGTCTAAAGTAATATAAATGCTAGTAGAACAGCTCATTCAATGGCTAGAGAATAAAATACTGCTGGAAACTGTTCAAAAAAGAAAACAAATAAACCTTTTCTTTTCTTTTTTTTTTTGAAGAACAGCAATTTCCTCTGCAAAATATTACAAAGATATGTTTATTGATTCATCTGGGACCTTTTCAGATGACCTTGACAATGATCAGAACGCACCTGTCAAAAGGAGAACACAAAAACCATACACTTCCCCTGACAGTAAAACACATATGTGCTCACACATTAAATACACAAATAAAAATTAAACTTTGAAAATGACTTCATTTTTCATCACATCAGACTCCCAAATTATAAGTCACAGATTCCTAATTTGGCCATTTCACAGTGTTGCTAGACAAACACACACGCATCCAGGTTCATACCATTACTGACATAAACCAGAGGTGGAAAACGCGATTGCTGCTAAGTCGGCAATAAAGCAAATGCTCTCGTCTTTGGAAGGGACGGCTGAACGGGTGTCTCGGGACTGTTCCAAAGCAGTGGGCTCTCCATCTCAGAGTCTGCATGTGTCAGGGTGCAAAGGGACTCTAGGGAGGCCGAAATGCCGCAAATGTCCTCGAGCTGTCATTTCACTGAAGGTAAAAATTTTTACCTGAGTGCTGGGTTTTAAGTCTCTTGTTTGCTTTAACAGCTGCAGCGTATTTCCTCCACTTTTTCCTGTTTTCATAGTGTTGCTAACCTTTGTAAACATTTCATTGTACAATTAAAGTGCTCAGTTGTGCTCCATCTGAGCCCATTCTGCCCGTTTTAAACGTGCATAGCTCTCCAGAACCTCATCGGCAGAACATGGCTGTTAATAGGTAGGTGTTCAGGTCGTTGCCAGCACCCTCAGCTGAGGCTGACTGAGTCCTGGGCGGGCTCGGGCTCTGCTGGACGCCCTGCGGCTCCACACAACCACAGGCAGTTAACTCGGCTCGCTCGTAAAGTCTCACGTCACTCTTTCAATGAAGCGCAAATTCTTCTTCCCCCAAATCCATTATTAATATGATAAACCTATAAAATGCAGGTGCCCCAAACTGAAAGAGTATTTTATAACCACTCCCAAATTTTGATTCCTATTGCTATTCCTGCTTTGTTACACAGAAAAGTGGACTTCAAAAAATAAACATTAATTTTTCTTCTCTGGGTGGTGGGCATAGGCACATCTTGCCTTACACCTGCGTGCTTATAGCTCCATATCGCTGCCTCACGTGCCCCTTGTCCTGGTGAGGCAGTGACATTCCCTCGGGGCTGTGGAAGGCCCCTCCAAACTCCTGACTTGGAGGTTTTTCTCACCTCACTTCTCTGAGGAGCATCTATAATTCAGGCATAGGTAGATCAGTTGGCAAAAAAAAAAAAAAAAAAAAAAGAATTAAATAAGTAATTGTGATATAAAATAAACAAATCAGGTTTCACTAGAAATTAATAAGTTTTAAGTATACCCATCACATAATTATAAACAGCGGTGTTTCTACTGGGTTTAAATAAAGACCCAGAAGTCTCAGGACCTCTCTAAGAGATACCAAGTACAAATGTTGAAATAATTAATATCATTGCTTTTAAGACTTTTGACATTGTTTACAATATATGCAATTTTAGTTGCTATTAATACCTTGTAATGAAAAAAAAAAATGTGCCTAACTGGTTTGAATATAGAGTGACGATACCTTGTTAAGATATCAAATACTTCTGAAAATACATTTAGATGTTTTGTTATGGGAGATAACTTTTAAGGATTTAAATTGTACGGGGTTTTTTGTGTTTGTTTGGTTTTTTTTTAAGCATGGTTCCTTGACGGAAAATTTCCTTAGCTTCCGCGAGACTGTAAAACATTGTCACAGATTGGATTCAGTGTTAGTTCGGCAGGAATTGCCGTGCCAATTTCTATACATAAGCGGCCTTATGAAAATCTTGTAACAAAACATCCGAAATACTGATGTTCTGAAAATGATGAAAACCCAAGGGTCCACAATGGAGATCACAGACATAAAACGCAAGGCCGTGAGGTTTCCAGCTTCTTCAGACATTCTGTTTTCCTTGGAGACAAACGCTCCATAGTAAGCGCGGTACTGTTTTAAAGAAAGAAAGAAAAATCCATTATAATATCAAAACGTTGATGGCAGATACATTCACTTACTTCACTTAGGACACATTACTTTTCTGTAAGAACGTGGCAGCTCGGCTTGGAATATTAATTTTTTGGCGAATTTAAAGCAGCAGGCTGATGGGTGCAAGCGAAGAGCCTGGAAGGCGCAGGGCAGACGCAGGAGGCTCAGTGGAGGGGGGACTCTTGGGGACCCGTCTAAGTCCCTGGAGGTGCAGGGCAGACGTAGGAGGCTCAGTGGAGGGGGGGCTCCTGGAGACCCGGTCTAAGTCCCTGGAGGCTGGAGGCTGGTCTACGTGCTGTGAGCACGGAGGTCCCAGATCCCTGCCTGGCCCTGCAAAGGAAGAGCTGAGGTGGGACTAACCCAGTCCACTGAATTTTTTATAAACAGGGTCACTACACTTCCATAAATACTTTCCGTATCCTCTTCAGTTCTCCTTTCTTTCTTCTGCCCACTTCCTATCCTCTCTCTCTTTTTTTTAAATCCTCACCCGAGGATATTTTTCCATTTTTTGTTCAGATAGAGTGGGAGGGAGAGAGAGGAAGGGAGAGAGAAACATCGACGTGAAAGGGACACATTGAGTGGCTGCCTCCTGCACTACCCAACCAGGGCCGGGGACAAACTGCAACCGAGGTACGTGCCCTTAGCAGGAACTGAACCCGGGTCTCTCTGGACCGCAGGCCGACGCTCTAACCGCTGAGCCAAACCAGCCAGGGCTATCCTCTCTTATTAGTTAGCTCAGAAATAAGTCCCATTGTGAAATGTCACATGTAGGGAGACATCAATGAAACAGCAGCTTTGAGTGGATGTGCAGAGACAGAAAACACTCCAATGAAGACAGAAGACTTTCAAAAGGACCTGTTCAACTCATGTAAATTCTTTAGTCTTAGCATAGATGGTTACCTTTCTGTGGTTGACACCCTCCTTTCACACTAGGAAAAACAAACCAAAAACCACATGCATGAAATATCAGCCTACTTACCTGTGCCCGGTCACTCCTACTGCCTTGGTCCTCCCTGAGGTCTCTGCAGCCCCTCCGGACCCTGCAAACCGGCTTACCCCACAGCCTTCCTGCCATTCAGCCCACACGGCTGCCTAGCCCAGCACTACCATCGCCTCCCCACTTGAGGGAGGCCGGTCACTTTTTCTCGATGCTGTTATACTCCCCATGCTTACAGAGATTTTAAATCCATTTAGAACCAGTGGGAGGGGCTATGAATAAGTGCACAGACCATACCCACTTAGGGCAATCAAGGAATATCTGCCAGAGAAGAACTATTTTTCCATAATTGTTTCCTTATCTTTTTACTCTCTTTTCTTTTCTAGAGAGCACTTTAGTGGACTCAGCTACTCCCATCCAGTGCACTTAGGAAGATATACCATAACTGAAGGCCCTCTCCCATCATCGTTGCTTAATAATACAATAATAATGGCTAATGCCCATGTTTCCAGGCCCTGTTCTAAATATTTTGCTTTGAAAACTTCATTTCATCTTCAAAAAAATCCCATGAAGGAAGTAGGACTATTGTCTCCATTTTATAGATGTGGAAACTGATTGCATGCCCAAATCCTGCCTCCTTTCAGGGTTGACCTCGAGTATTACTCCCTGCAGGAAGTCCCAGTGCAGTAGTGGCTAAGCACACCAGTTCTGGAGTCTGACTGTCTGGGTTAGATAGAGTCCCTTCACTGGCTGTATGACTTTGGGCAAGTTATTGCACTTCCTCATCTATACAGTGGGGATAATTGTATTTACCTTCCAGGATTGTTATGAAATTTGAATAAGATGATATGAGTAAACCTTTAACAATAGGTCCTAGCATATAGTGAGAACTCAATAATTAGCTATTATTATGATGATGATTATTAGTTTATCAATCAACTCCTTCTCTAATCTCCCTTTTGGCCCTAATCAGTCCCTCCCACCCCAGTATTAAAACTTATGTGGGCAGATGTGATGTTTTTTTTTTTCATTTTCTATCCCACAATGACTTACAGGGTCTTGACTGTGTAGGTAACAGATGTGCTGGATGGATAAATGGATGGCAATAGGCTATGCGCTTTGGTTGATTTAAACAGCAAACGCTTTATGTGAATCTGTCTTTACATTTGCTCCTTTCTCCTCAAAGTACAGTGCAGCAAAATGTAACCCCAACTATTTGAAAATACTTGATTAGCTGTGATCTGAGTAACTGAATGGTACCTACATAATTAAAACAATGCATTTTATTTTTAAGCAGCATTTGTCCAAATCAATCTTATTGTATATTATTAGATTAATTGTATTTTCAAGTCACCTGATTTGTAATAGAAATGTATTGATTTACACCTGCACTTTTAATTTAATATGCTTTATTTATTTAATTTAATTTAATTTTTTTTTTTTTATCCTCACCCGAGGACATTTTTCCATTTTTTGTTCAGGTAGAGTGGGAGGGAGAGAGAGGAACAGAGAGAGAGAGAGAAACATCGATGTGAAGGGACACATCGAGTGGCTGCCACCCGCACGACCGACCAGGGCCGGGGACAAACTGCAGCCGAGGTACGCGCCCTTAGCGGGAACCGAACCCGGGTCTCTCAGGACCGCAGGCCGACGCTCTAACCGCTGAGCCAAACCGGCCAGGGCATATTTGTTTTTATTTTTGAGTTTACTAATAATATGACGACTTCATTTATGACAGTGATCAAAGTACATATTCTATTAATTCTCACAAATTATCAATTTGGACACAATTTAGACTTTTGAAAAATCTCAGTCCATCAAAAGTATTCTCTGGAATATACTTTATAAACTGCTTCTATAAAAGGGGCTAAGATAACGAATAACCTCAGAATATACACCTGGCATTTTTTAAGTAGGTCAATTTACACAGAGAATCAGTGTGAGAAGAGCGCCCTCTGTTGGATTTAGGAGTCCTTGAAAAAATGTAGCTGTTGCGGACTCCAGAGACCTATTTTGGCGGGATATTCCCCTTCCGGAGAGCTCTCTTAATGCCAAGGCCCTCTTCTATCCAGTCCAGCCATCACAATACTCTGCCCTCTGCCCTAGCCCTTTAAATCCACTTCTGACCCTTTCCCTTGGCCCATTTCTTGACTACCATTCCTTACATGCCTCTAACAGTCTCCTTTGAAAAGAGCATCCTGCTCATTCTTTCTACATCAAAATGAAACACACGTTATCTCAATATATGCAGGATGTCCTCTACCACTTCCCTGACTCTATGAACTTTGATATATGCAATTACTTATCTTCACCTGGTTTCTAGACCTCTCAGGTATCTTACAGAACAAGCATGGCTATTCTCCTTTGAGCGAAATTGTGGTTAGAAAGGGTAAACAATCCACTATCATAGCTAGTAAGTGATGCAGCCTGATTCAAACCCATGTCTGATGCTGACTCCCTACCCGTTCTAGAAAATGCTAGTTCCTGTGTAGAATGCTGTCTGCATTGTATATCTTTGGAATTTTACACGTTTTTTTAGGAAATCATTTTCAAATTCATTATTTCCTTCAATCCTCACAATTCTATGAGTTATTTAACTCCCCTTAGCGATGTGTCCAAATGCAATGTTCCTTCCACTGTATTATGCTGCTTTTGGCACTGTCCCTCCTAAAACATCAGGGCATAATATCCATGCAGTTGGCTACTGTCTGCTTTTAACGCAGCATAAGTAAATAAGGCTGTTGCTATAGAGCAGAAGTCTGCAAACGTGTTCTGTAAAGGGTCAGACAGTAAATATTTTCTTTTTTAAAAAAATATGTTCTATTGATTTTTTTAGAGAGAGAGGAAGGGGCAGAGAGATAGAAACAATGATGCGAGAGAAACATTCATGGGCTGTTTCCTGCATGCCCCCTGCTGGAGATTGAGTCTGCAAGCCAGATATGTGCCCTGACCAGGAATGGAAATCCACTGATTTGATGCTCCATGCACTGAGCCACACCGGCTGGGCAGGCAGTAAATATTTTCTATTTTATGGGCTAAAAAGCAAATAGTGACTATTTGGTGGGTACTTATATGATGAGAGAAGACACATTTCCACAGCGTTTACTGATGAATTTCAAAATGTAATCATAATAGTTAAGTATGTATTTTTGTAATACATGTCTACTAAGGAAAAAAATAAAAATATTTTTTCTTGGAATAATATTTGGCTTAATTGGGGGTTCAGAGTTCGTGTGTCCTATCATCAACTGATTGCAAATTTTCATTTGTAAAAACTGTTCTTAATTCCACTACTGTAAAAAAAAAAATAGTGGGCAAGACACACTTGGCTTGTGGGCTGTGGTTTGCCAAGTCCTGGTTTAGAGTGTGGTTCTCCAAATGTGATCACTGGATCAGCAGCTTCCACCTTATTCTTAAGAATAAGAATTCTTCAAAACTGTCTGTGTCAGAAACTCTGGGGAATGGGGCCCAGCCATCTATGTTTTTAAAAGTCCCACTGATGATCCTGAGTATGATAAAATTTGAGAACCACTGCTAAATATCTATACCTATATCCATATCTATTTGTATAGATAGATTTATTTATTTATTTTGGGGTGTTCTCATCCTAACTCTGCATGATGAAGCTACAGACAACCCCCACACCCCACTAAAGTCTCATGTAAGGAAAAATCACATTATATTTCACTGTCATCCACCCTTGACAGTAATATACAAAATTGCTGCTTTGCTATAAGAAATTTAACTTTGCTATTCACAGAAGTCTCAAGACTCCAAAGGCATTGAATTGGCAATGCATTTGTTTAAATGTTGCTCTTGTTGAACAAGTAGCCTGGGGGTGGGGGGTGGAGGAGAAGAGGGAGAGCAGCAACACTAAAAAGTTTTCTCAAGCCTCGGCCACACTCCTAGTTGTCTTGGCCGGGACCCCAGGAGGAAAAACTTTCAAAACAACGAGGTAATAAAATCTCCACCACCATCATTAGTAAGTTGAAACCAGAGATAATGACTTTCTTGTCACCTCACTTGCCAAGACAGAAACAAAACCAACCTGTCAAGACAGGTTATTAAAACGGCACCAGTTACTGAAACCTACTTTCAGGGCTGCCTTTCCGAACAGCTTCTCCGCCTCTGTCACCACGACCCACCTTGGCGGCAGCACCAGAAACAGCATCCGGACTCCTCAAAGTTTACCCAGGAATTCTGAAAAACTGAACCTATGTTTTGATTAAGTCACCTCTGGATTACACCTTCCCTAATTCCCTTTCCATTCCCAAACCTGGGAGACGAAATAGATTCCATTCGACCACTACCCGTGCCACTAAAATCGTGGGCAGGTCTAACGAAATAAAACATCAACTAGTCAACGGGGAAGTAGGAGAGGACTCCTATCGCCAAGGAGGAGCCTAGTTTTGCTACTCAAAATTCTGAATCACAAATGTTACTCATACTGTCCCAGAGGGAAGCAGACAGGAGGAGGTTCTAGCCAACTGCAGAGGTTTCTCGGGTTACAGGGACACCATGTGACTTTTCCTTGCTTTCTCTGACTTTTCCTCTTTTCCCTCAACAAACTGGGTTATAGGTCCCGGGGTGTGGAGGGAGGGAACCCGATGTGGGGAGCGCAGCAGCAAGCTCTCCCGGCCTAGGGCGCGGAGTCTCCAACACGCTCCACCCTTCCAGCCCGGCACTGGTGGCCCGAAGCGCTGCAGTCCCCCCGCAGCCTTGGCGAGAGCAACTCACAATTAAAGGCAGGGTGCACACAGTGAAGAGCACGGTCATGAGGGCCAGCAGCAGGAGGTGATCCAGCTCCTCCAGGGGCGGCGGGGACGCCTCCTTCTCCCCGGCGCTGGGCTCCGAGCGTTCCCTGGTGACCGAGCGATTGTGCCGCAGCCGCAGGTGCATCCGGTAGAGGTTGTGCATGGCGCTCAGGTTGCACAACACGATGGCGAGTACCAGCAGCACCATGAGGCTGGCGTAGAGCACTGAGTAGCCCAGCACCGACAGCGAGCGCTCCTCGTGGACCATCTGGAAGAAGCACCAGGTGCCGGGGCAGTACTGCACGAACTTCCCGAAGCCCGCGAAGGGCAGCGCACAGAAGGCCAGGCAGAAGGCACCCACGACGGGCGCCACCAGCGCGCCCCGGCGCAGAGTGATGTGCTGTTGGTAGAAGAAAGGGTGCCCCAGGGAGAGCCAGCACTCCAGGGCCATGGCCAGGAGCTGCAGCGTCGAGGCGAGGCCGAAGAAGGACATGATAAAGGCGAAGGCTTGGCACACAGAGCTGCCCGGAGTGGGTGCCAGCCCCCACAGGCTCCGGTTCTGCGCATAGGCCGCCAGCACGAAGGGGCTCACGAGGCACTTGCCCAGCAAGTCGGTGACGGTCAGGCCGAACACAAGCACGTAAAAGACCGAAGGTGGCGAGCGCGGCGAGCGGAGCGAGCACGACCCCAGCCCCGAGCGCGCCAGCAGCCCCAGGGCCAGCAGGTTGCCCAGGAGGCCCGCGCTGAAGAGCACCCAGCCCATCGACGCGGAGTAGCCCTTCTCCACCAAGGTGGTGTTTTGGCAGCGGTACAACGACTGTTTCATGGCGGGCAGGACTGGAGGCTGCGGGAGGGCCAGGGCCCCGGCGTCCCGGTGCTGAGGGGACCAGCCGCTCCGCGCGCCCTCGGGAGGAGAGGCTGCCCCGCAGAGGAAACTCCGCAGACCGCCGGGTGTGCCTGTGACAGCAGGCACCTCCTATCTAAACTCTCGGGTCACACCCCTCCCCGAGGGGCGGGGCGGGACGTGGGCCCGCTGCGCAAAGGGCGCTGCCCTGTAGGGGTGCGGAGCAGCCCCGGGGAGAGCTCTGGTGCTCCAGGTCCTAAGGAGAGACAGGCTCTCATGCCCATAATCCGATAGAAAGAAAGAAAATTGCCAGGCTTCCTAGCACTCCCACCAGTCCTTCCTACAAGGCAAAAAAAAAAACAACAAAAAAAAAACCACTGAAATGCAGGGGAAATTAGCAGCAGCTACTAGGGAGGAGGGGTGTGCGAGGAGGCCATGGTGGTGGTGGCCAAGAGAACGCAGGTGATGAGGGCAATGGGGAGGCTGAGAAAGGGTTACCAAGTAGTTTTTGAAGTGGTGGGTTGAGGAAAGGGTAGGGTAACTAATATTTGCATATACTTTAGGTGAGGAAACAGAGACTTTGGAAGATTAAGTGATCTGCCCTAAGTAACAAAGGTAGTAAGGGGCAAAGGTAGACCTAGAACCCAGATCTTCTTATAAAGTCCATCTGTCTTGGCTTCTCCTCCCAAAAGGTTGGCTAGATTTCAGGGAAGTGGCTGCAGGGAAAACCAAGGGAGATCTTCGCCCTGGGTATCATGAATCAATGGTTGTGTAGACATGGTGGGAGGAGTAGGGTTAAGAACACTGATGCTGTCATACCACAGACCAGGGTTCAAGTCCTATTTCTGGTACTCACTGCCTGTGTGACCCTGAGGGACTTAACCTCTCAAAAAGTAACATCTAGCCATCCTACTTGGCAATTTTGAGGCTTAGGAATAACATGTAAAGTGCAGACATAAAAAGTGCTAGGTACATCCCAGCTGGCACAGCTCAGTGGATTGAACATCCTCCCAAGGACTGAGATATCTCCCTTAATTCCCTGTCAGGGCGCATGCCTAGGTTGCAGGCTCCATCCCCAGTAGGGGGCGTGTAGGAGGCATCAGATGTTTCTCTCACACATGGATATTTCTATTTCTCTCCCCCTTCCTCTCTCTAAAAAACCAATAAAGCTCCCTGGCCGGGTTGGCTCAGCGGCTGGAGCATTGGCCTGCGGTTCGGAGAGACCCGGGTTCAGTTCCCGCTAAGGGCACGTACCTGGGTTGCAGTTTGTCCCCGGCAGACACTCAATGTGTCCCTTTCATGTCGAGATCTCTCCCTCCCACTCTCTCTGAACAAAAAATGAAAAAATGTCCTCGGGTGAGGATAAAAAAAATCAATAAAGCACATATATATTTTAAAAGTATGCGGTACAATGCAAGTGTCAGAATTCTCACATGTTTTAGAAAGGATGTTTTAGTAGCTGATATTTAACTGCAGTTTTTAGCATGGATTTTAGAGCCAAAAAATAGTAGACTTGATTTGGAGCTTCCTCAATCTGGTTGGTGACTTTTAGAAAACATTTCCTCCTTTAGGGCCTTTAATTTGGCTGCATCATAAAGGCAAGAGAGTTCATTGTGATAAGTGTGATTTATTTCTGTAGTTACCACTTGATACCCTGGGAGAGGAACTAGCTTTCTGTGTGGAATTTGAGTGGGATGACTTGGGCCACAGTACATGAGCAAGTAGATAATGCCTTGGCTTAAGGAAGCTAATTTTTAGGCTCAGTGTCTGTTCTGATGGACAAATTCAGGGAGACAGAGAGAGACCCTTGAGCTTTGGATGCGAAAGCCTTAAGGGTAGTCAGGGAGGCTGTCTCTAGAGAAAGCCTGGCCAGTCATTCTGGCCATGGGGTGGAGACGAAGGGTCCAAGCTTTGGAACTAGGTAGTTTTGAACTACTAGGTAGCTGTGTAACCCTGGGTTAGTTTATTCAATTTTTGAGTTTGTTTGTTTCCTCATAAAAAGGATATGGGACCTCATAGGGCTGTTGTGAAGTTCAGCAAGCATAAAGCATTTGGCATACGGTAATAATATTAATCAGAGCGAACATTTATAGGCCCTTTTATATGCTAGGTACTCTCTCGTCCTTTCACATCTATTCACTCAACTAGTTCCTGTATCCTCCATCTTCTCCCTCTTATCAATGCCTCTCACTCCCCCCCCCAGTCCCCAATGAATAATGATGGGTTTAGAAGAGCCCCACTTGAGTTGAAGCAAAAGAAGAAGGTATTATAACAAAAAGACACTAGAATATGATGAAATCTGATGTCTCCTCTCTAGATAGATACACACACACACACACACAAACACACACACTCACAATTTATACCAATTACAGTGTTCAGAGTTTCCTGAAATCCTACTGTGATACCCAGGAGAGACCCAGTGACTCTAGCTTAAGAATCCTTCTCTAAGGTCCAGCCGGTGTGGCTCAGGTGGTGTGATCATCATCCCGTCTCGGGTTCAATTTTCGGTCAGGGCACATACCTAGGTTGTGGGTTGGCTCTTGTTTGGGACACATGCAGGAAGCAGCCAATTGATGTTTCTCTCTTGCATCGATGTTTCTGTCTAAAATAATAATAATAATAATAATAATAATAAATCAATAAACGTATCCTCGGTGAGGATTTAAAAAAAAAGAATCCTTCTTTAAGGACATTGTAAGTGGCATTCTGTGAAGAGTACCAACTCCAGTTCTTTGCAGCATTATTTTTCTTTTTATAGCTGCAAACACCTCCATACCCCTCCTCAGAGCAATGCACAGGGAGCGAGGAGCCCAGAGCTGTAAATAATCTTTTCGAAATCATTCCAAAGTGTGACTGAAGGGACAGTTGTAGACTCTTGACACAGTATATACACCATATATGTCATACTTCAAGGTTCATGGCTTTGAACGGGTACAGTTCAGGAAACCACACATTTCCTCCTGGCCAATGGTAGCTGGCCTTTACCATGGGTTTCCGGCTATTTTCCTGCCTGCTTACTTCTTACTCACCCTGCTCTGTTCTCAGGCTTAAGCTTGGAGTCTCCTGTCCCTCCTCCTAGGAAATCTTATTTTAACAACTTCATTGTTCAGCCAAGAAATGTATTATTGTTCATGCATTAAGCATGCTTTGAGCTCTTACTTTGTGCCAGGCATCGGGTAAGGAGTGTGGGCATTTCCCTGGCTGGTTTGGCTCAGTAGTTAGAGCGTTGGCCTGCGGACCAGAGGATTGTGGGCACTGTGGAGTACACAGCAAATAAAGGAAGGCAAATGACATGTCATGTGCTTTTACGTGGTTATACATTTTATATCAGCCTTCAGAGGAACAAGGCTAAGTTTTTTTTCTATGAAGAAAAGTTAAAAAAAAAACTGGGATGGAAAAATTATGGATTAATATTTTCCCCTTCTATTTATATTTTATTTAAAATTTTAAAAAATATAGTTGACATTCAATATTATTATTAGTTTCAGGTATACAGAATAATGGTTAGACCTTCATATAATCTATGATTCCACCTGATAAGTCTAGTACCCATCTGACACCCTACCTAGTTATTATAATATTATTGACTATATTCCCTATGCTGTAATTTACATCCTTGTGAATATTTTATAACTTTCCATTTGTATTTCTTAATCCCTTTACCTTTTCTTCCCAGCCTCCTAACCTCCCTCCCATCTGGCCATCATCGGTTTGTTCTCTGTATCTATAAGTTTGTTTCTGTTTTGTTTGTTTCTTTATTTGTATTTTAGATTCCACATATAAGTGAAATCATATGGTATTTGTCTTTCTCTGTCTGACTTATTTCATTTAGCATAATACCCTCTAGGTCCATCCATGTTATTGCAAATGGTAAGATTTCATTCTTTTTTTTTGATGGCAGAGTAGTATTTTATTGTATATATTTACCACATCTTCTTTACCCATTTGTCTAGTGACGGGCACTTAGGTTCGTCCTTATCTTGGTTACTGTAAATAATGCTGCAATGACCATGGGGATGCATGTCTTTTTGAGTGAGTGTTTTGGATTTCTTCAGACAAATACCAGAAGTGGAATTGCTAGGTTATATAGTTAAGAGGAAAACTTTTTTTTTGGTTTATTTATTTTTATTAAAATTTTTTTATCACCATTTATCTCCTTATACCCTTCCTCCACCTCCTCCCACATTTTAAAAATCCTCACCCAAGGATATATATGTATATATAATATATTAATATGTATTAAATATTAATATATATTAAATTGATTTGAGAGAGAGAGAGACAGACATTTATTGGTCCCCTCTCCCCCTGTACATGCCAGACCAGGGATAGAACTCAAAATCTAGGATGTGCCCCGGCCTGGAACCAAACCCACAAACTTTTGGTATACGGGACAATGCTCCAAGCGACTGAGCCACCTGGCCAGAGCTAAGAGGGAAAGTTTTAATAAAAATATGTTGGGCCCAGTTACATGTAAAATTACCTTTGTTATCTGCAGAGCTATGCTAGGCTGCTTAATTCAGTTCTAAGACAAATCTGGAAAATTATATATGGCATAATGTGAACAGACACATTTGAATACATAATCATATTGTGATTTTGTAAATGCAAAAACCTGATTCCTGCCTTTTAAGGTCCCCAACCTTTTGTTCAGCAAGAAATTCCATGTTGACCTCTTTTGCTGTCAAAGTGAGAGATAAAATCCCCCAGAGATCCTGGTGAGTGGGTGTGTCTTGGCCAACCTCTGTTAACCTTCTGTTTCCAGAACATACTCTCAATTTTAGCTTGGCTGTAGTTTAAACTATAACTATCAGCGTGAATTTTAAAAATATCTATGGGCGATGACCGGTAAATCAGCGGCGGAGTAAAACGTTTGTTAACCCAGTTATCGGTTGTGACAGCTCGCTGATGACCCAGATTGCCCGTGTTCTAGGGGAGCTGTTGGCAGATGTGGCTGACTTGTTCCTTGTGAAGCAGAC